TTAAAATAAGAAAAAAAATTAACAAGGGCCTAAGAATAATTCAGTTGCAGACGTACCTTGTTTAAGTATTATATGCTAAATGCGGCTCTTGTAGCCCTAGCTAGACAAGGCACTCATGTGCAAAGCAGTGGTGTTTGTTTATCCATGAAAAAGGTGACATAATCTAGCTTATGACGTATGCATGCTAAATATAGCGTGAGTGTGACGTCACCAAAAAATAAAAATTTTCTATTATAACCAAAATATCAATAACTACAAGGTTTGTGGGCGTAAATTCCCTTAATACAAATTAAGGGTAGCACCATCACCTTGCCATACAAATTACAGCTCCCATTGACGTCTCAGTCGAGAAATACGGGTAGCTGAAGTTTTTCTCGAAAATCTGACTACGAAACCAAATCGAAATTCATGTTCCACTTCTGACTCTGAGTTGCTTCGCACACGCTGCTGAGGGCGGCATTCCGGGAACATTGCGTCTAGATCAGGTTCAACCTTGGACCTCCATGGTTCAACTGAACCTTTAGTAAACACACTTTTCCCTGAACTCTTAATTACAATACTTCTTATCATTTTCATATTAGCAAACACTCATGTAGGCAAGATTATAGATCTATCTGATGCCCTTTACAATGACTTTGAGAATTTAACCTCACCTTGTTTATATTTAAACTATTTTCAATTCAAGACATTGTATTTGAAATCAGAATACAAAGCATTCATAACATAGAGTTTATACCTTCCTGGTGACACAACAAAAGGTTTTCTTTTTAGTGGCCAGTTGGATACTATATGTGACCCAAGCTCACAAACAGGCTGTAAACTCGCACTGCACTGTATTAAGAAACAAGCCTCAATACCCAGAATAGGGCGTAGAATGTGAATTTTGTGTGAATTTTGGGTTTTTGTGTAATAAATAAAGTATAACTGTTAATCTTACTATTCCTGAAGTTTGAGTTTAAAATTCCAAATGTAAGAGGTCAAATTTAGCCATTTTCGGATGGGAGCTAATGAAAAATGAATAGAAACCTGCCGAAAATAAAAGCATTTTTCTCAAAACTTGATTTAAGAAAGTTGATAAGATGACAATTATTCAAACGGTCATAACTTTGCTTCAGACACCCGATTGAGTTCATTTAACTGTCATTTTAAAGTAAATGATATGTTCTATGCCATTATAACAAAAACTCATTTTGGCCTTAGGACGAGTTTACAGCCCGTTTGTGAGCTTGGGTCACATATGATAAAGTATTAAATCCATTTTTAAGATTACTGCACTTAATGATGGTAGACATTTTCAAAGTACAACTATTAAAATACTTTAGTTAATTCAATTTAAGATATTTAGCAGGTTGGCAGTTACTTAACTCATGAGGGCAGACATCAATAGCATTGATAAACCTAATAGGATTCTTTAACAATTGTTAAAATTATTGAAACTTGTTGAGCTATTTACTCAAGATTTGAATCCTGATGGCCAAAATCCACTGGTACTTACAGTAGAAGGCGAGTATCTCAACAAAGCTACAATTCCATTCAATATTATGTGCGGGAATTTTGGAAAAATTGGAAAGTCCTCCCGCACTCCCGAAAGCAAGAAGAACCTCCCGGAAATGATATATAATTTGCATGTTTTTACTAACTGTATTATCAGATGTCTCTCAAAAGTTAGTACCAATGCTTATCACCATGTGATAAATAAAAATAAAAATTAGATGTGTTTTTACAATTTGTTAAAACACGTTCGCTACTAGCGACGAGTATACTCGTCCCAGAGGGTGTTGCTGAGGGCGCTAGGGATGTCTATACTCGTCAAAACCGGAGTAAAATTCTAGCGTTATTACATTAATACACTGTAGAACGACAGACTTAACGGCTGATAATTCGGGAAAGATACACCTACCGTAGATGGTAACATAAAAATAACATGCGTATGTTTGTTGTGTTTTATATATTGACAGCAGTACAAAAGATTACATGGTGGGAGCACACTATAAATATATACCAACCCATGCAAAAACTGGACAAGAAAACTTGCACTTGGCAGAGGCAACAGAAAATACTGTCCCATTGCCAGCGACAAGTTTACTCGTCCACTAATATTTTTCTGAAATTAAACACACCATTTGATGATCTGTGACAGTTCAAGAAAGTATGTTTGTACATATATACTTGTTTTGGCACACAGGACAAAACCTACAAATAAGGTCTGGCAATCAATGTGTTAAAAAAAGCTCATCTGAACAGCAGTGGCGTATGTAGAAGTGTTGAAATGGGGGTTCTGATGGAGGAGCACGAAGGTGAATTGGGGGGGGGGGATGCTCGATGATCAGTTGAGGGGCAATAACTTGCAAAATAAGGTGATTTTTAAGTACTTGCAAGTGATTTTTGGAGGCGATTATGGGAGGGGGCCATGAGTAATTTTTGGAGGGGCATGAGCCCCTCACGCACCACCCAGATACGCCACTGCTGAACAGGTCTCCCGGAAATGGCTTCTTCCAAGTTGGGAACCCTGTCATTGGCAGAGTCTTTAATTGCTGTTTTTGTGCTTATCGTTCATTGCCAAAAGAAATTGAATAAATAAAAATAAATTTATATGGGCCAGAAATTTATTCGGCAACTGTGCCAGGAACAGTTCAACCATGATGCCTATTAGGCATTAATATTCATAAAGCAATTTTATGACTCTTGAATTTTAAATTCAATTTACAGTTTTGTGGTATCTTTTTAATAGCCGATACAGTACTTTCTTTTGATATTTCATATGTGTTTTATTAACAAAAATTAATTAAATCTTATCAAACATAAGTTACTGTACTTCCAAGTAATCTGAATCTCTGATTCTCATAATATTTTACTGACAAAATCATTGTTTAAATGCAAATGAAACTTAAAAATAAAATAAAATATGCTGGTCAATTTGAAGAACAATGAAGGTTATTAATCTCGACAGCTGGAGATGAAAATATTTAAATAATTAATTATAGATCAAGAGGTTCTAGTTAACAAACTGTAATTCCATGTTGTTATAGCAGCTTGCATTGAGTATGATGTCATCATCTCAGATGTACTGTACGTCATAACGAAGTGAATTTGCTGACTGATTGAATGGATATACATTACTGTAGCTGTGTTTAGCAACTAATCTATGTTAATAATTTTTGTACATATTTTGTATTTGTGTTTACTATGCACCGACTTTTAAATGTCATGTATTTCTTTAGAATTAGTACAAAATACAAGATTAAAAAACATCTAAAACAATATATTTCACTGTTCAACATAATGGAGCAAAATAATTATTCTATTAATTAACAAACTTAAATATTCAAAAATAATAATTAGTGATAGATCAGAAGGTTCTAGTTAACAAATTGTAATTCAGTGGTGCTGTTATTCTGCTTACGTTGAGTATGATGTCATCATCTCAGATGTACTGTACGTCATAATGAAGTGAATTTGCCGACTGATTGAATGGATACAGCTGTGTTTAGTGACTACTCTATGTTAATAGTTATTGTACATATATTGTATTTGTGTTTACTATACACTTACGTAAGTTTTTTAAATGTCATGTGTTTCTTATAAATACAAGATTAAAAGACATCTAAATAACAAACTTATTCCACTTTTCAACATAAAGGAGCAAAATAATTATTACATTAATGAACAAATTTAGATACTCAAAATTAAACTGATAATTTCAATATTAGCATTACAAAACAAAAAAGCAATAAAAAAAATATTAGCATTACATAAACAAAAAAGCAATAAAAAAAAAACAACATCCACTGTAACACTGGCTTACTCATTCCATGGAGGTATTTTGTACCTCCATGCTCATTCATAGTTTGAACTTTAAACAGAATAATGATGTTTATATGGTTGTAAGTTTATGTGAGCGGAGATAAATACTGGATTATTACAAATGTTGTAACATACAGTACGGTATGTATCAGATCCAATTAGCTTTTTCCTGTCTGCATCACTACCATCATGAGGCTGCAGCCACTTTAATGGTTCTCACTACCAATGTGCTCTTTTAAAACTTTTATATTTACTTTGAACTCTGACCCAATACACCAGAAACCACATTACATCAATTACAAACATTTCAGCAGAGCACAGAGGTGATTATAATGGAATAGCCTCTATGTAATGCCCCATTCTATAATTGAAGCTTAATGATAGCATAGAGAAAATAGGTTCTCTATTTTCTCTATGATTATAGGGCATTGTCATTACACCCTACATCGGTATAAGGTCAATCAAACCAGTTTTCTGCAGTATTTTCTGGATACTAACCTTCGCAACTCTAATTTTTATTTTTTTTAAATGTATTCAGCTTTGCCAAATGGAAGGATGTACAGCCAAATATAGCTTCCTGGAAGATGGTGTATGCCAACATATGTTGGAACAAAGCCTATATATCTTGCAACTAGTGTCAACAAACTATTTTTTTATTTACATTTGAGACATGTAGGAGCGAGTGGCGCAGTGTGTAAGGTGTTGGACTTTTGATCGTGAGTTCGAGACCGATGCTGACCCTACTAGGATGGTTCCAGTCAATTAATAACAGCAACTAGAATCGATTATACGCGATTAATCGCTAAAGGAAGCTACATTCAAAAAACCAACTGTGTAGCTCCTGTAATTCATACGAACGAATGAACGAACGAATGAGAATGTACAATATGTTTTTGAACAGATTTTCCATAATTGACTTAATTTAAAAGGAATATTGCATAAACCAAAAAATGATAGCACCTACAGTAGTAGGTATTTACTACAACATAATATTTTAGTTTATAAATAATTGATGGGCTGGATTGAAATTGCTGAGGACCCCAATATCATAAAATCCATTCCTTTCTGTGAGATCACTTGCAGTTGTATACAACATTTAATAATAGTAGATTGAATAAAATTACATTATGATAACTTGATTGATTCAACAAAACTGTAGCAGTAGTAAGAAGTACTATAAAGTACAATTAGCTTACCGTGAGTTACTGATACAACATGACAGTTAGGGTCGATGCTGCCTATATGTCTGGACGAATGACCATTTGGGTTAGTACCAAACACTAATGCTGAAAAAACAAATTTAATTATTTATAATTGGGAAAAAAAACCACAGGTCAACGATTATTAATATTATACAAAAACAAATACACACAAATAAATGAATACAGTAGTATTGGACATGAGGTCATGGTGATAATAAATTTCCATTAAATTTGAATATCTACAGTACTTTACAGCAAAAACATCACATGGCTTTGGCATCTAAACAGCAAACACTGGTATAATAATATCACTTGTTTAGATTGGGCCACCTTGGTTATTTAAAAAAAATAAAAACAACTACAACATCATCAGCAACAAAAACAGTTCTTAAAAATTAACAATAATAACCATATACAATAATTATTATTGTATTTTCTTATAAAACATTAGACCAAATAAATAATTATTTTTTTTAATATCCTTATATGAATAATAATAATAGTAATTTACATTACTTTATACAGATCCTTGTTTGGATAATTTTACATGTGTTTAAAATTTCTACATTTGCATTATTATTATAGTTATAATTTCATTCTGACTACTTAAAGTTACACATATTCAGGATAGCAATAGAAATGTATCATATTGTTCACACTTAATGCAGATAGATTTAATTATGTCAATGACCCCTTCCAGCCTACACAATCATCACATGCTATTACCTTAGTAATACATCATGTCTGCTCATTAATAATACATTACAATCTCAATAATTAGCAACTGTAATCATAACAAATTTTTCATTCATTTTTTAAAGAAAGTTAAAAATAAAGTGTATACCCAAGCATGCGTTTTATTTTTAAAGTATTACGTATAAATTTGTAATCTATCATAATTCTGTATGTTATGATTAATTTAATTCTAATGATAACAATTTTTAAGTTTGGTGTACAGTATCCAATCTGCACTGCCGCATTCTGGGATAATCTCTTTTTCCCAAGGACACTTTAAATTTTCAGAATTTCCTTTAATACAGTAATCCTTTCCTTTTATACAGTAATCCTTTCCTTTTATACAGTACAGAAGAGAGCATAATGCAGTAATTATTGGAGAGTTGAAGAAGATTAAAACCAACAAAAATGTACAGCATACCACTGATGTGACCCCCATGTGACAGTTTTGTCAAGTGACTGGTATCATAGCCAATAGATTGGCTTCAATTTACATCCCACTGTTGTTCATTTGTGTGGATACAGTATGTAATTAAATTCCTCTAGTTGGATCATAGAGGTATACTGTAAAATTCTAATTTTATACATCGATGGCTGGACTAACACTATAGCACAGGCTGTGAAAAATGCCCTGGTTGAGGACATCTCTTGAAGCACACCAACTACAGTACTATTCAATTTTACAATCTTAAATCTTTCCTACCAATGACCAGGGGTCGGAGGCACCATGATTACCTACTCTGAATTTTAGAGAGTGGTGGTGGGAAGGAAAGGAAAGTCAATTTTTTTTGTACCACCGTGGGAATATATAGAGTAGGCCTACAAAAACATTGGTTCTGAAGGCAATTCATCAAGATAATTTTCAAGGCACAAATGTTATTTTTCCAAGCCTGATAACAACATTCCCCAAGGAAATTTGCCTCACTTTTCCAGTTCCCCTTACCACTAAACACCATGCAAAAAATTATGCCAGTCATAAAGTTATGCCAGGTATATTGAGGTGCCCCTCTATAACTCCAGGGATCCAAAGTTTTCCGCAAGTCGCACAAGTCACCTGAAAATCTAGATGGCCTCCCACACTAGACATCAATGCGTGAAGTTTCAGAAGAATGTTGAGTAGGAATTTTAGTATGACGTCAAGTCAGGCAAGATCGTGGGAGTGTGAACCTACTGGAAGTACTGTATGCCATCAGACTTATTGGGGGATAGAGACATTATAAAGCCAGTAACCAATGATAAAATGAATTGTAGTTTTCTTGTAATTTCTGTAAAGCTTAAGATGAAACTCAGCATCCCGATAAAAAACTCATTTGCATTCAAAATATTAAAATATGTTAAATTAAAAGATGAGCTCCAATATTGCACAATTTAAGAAATTTAGTTTCTTGGCATTATTAGTAAATTAAGAATACAATTGTGATGGCATTTTTGTTTTACTCATCAGCAATTAGAAACATTTAAAAAAACAGAATTTACTCACTGTGTTGGTTGATTAACATTCGTATGCTAATTCTACTCATTAAGAATCGATCTAAGAAGTACTGTATATTGCATTCTTCATGTGTGTCCACATTCAACCTTCCTTCCCTCATTTCTAGCACTCCCTACAAAATAAAATTTAAAAAAAAACAATGTGATAATTTAAAGGAATCAATAGGTTTCACTTTCCTCCTTGCATTTCAGCAATAGCCTTTTTTTGAAATGTCAGCATGTATTGCCATTTAGGGAAGAGCATGTTCTTGACCATTCGCCCATTAGGGGGTCAGCATATGTTGGCCATGGTAGCCCTTAGGTAGCCAGCATATGCTTAAGCAATAGCATGTATCCCAGGAACAACAAAATAAATAGGCAGATTCAGAGAGGCCCAGCTGCTGGTCCATGAGGCACTCCTTTAATTCTTATATAATTAAACCAAAGGGAAAAAATGACTTCCAAATTAATACAAGAATTTGTGTATACTTTCCCCCATCGCCCATATTGATGATTTCGAATAAAATAAAATTTTATTTTTGGCTAATGGAAATTTCAGAAAAAAATAACGGCTTTTCTTTATTTTTATTACACCCGCCGCTGCCTTGAAATCGCCAAAAATAAGATATGTATAATCTTCCTCATTATATAAATTTAAAGCATTTAACCATTCCATTAGTACACTGTTTACATTTAACAATAAAATTATATTTTTATTTTCTCTTTCATCTGGATGTTTCTGGTAAAAAACAATTTGCTAAATAATAAGAAAACAAACTTTATTTTAATTTTTTGTCTGCCCTCCTCTGATGATCTTTAAAAAATTAAGTTTGTGGAACAAGGTATAAAAAAGTCTTTGCCTAAAGTGTGAGTGTCATTTCCAACCATCTAGAAGCCATTGACACAAAATTTCATACCATAGCCCAAATCATTCTGGGACTGGAGTAGTCTGTACTGCCCTGTATTGTAATTACATTTCCATTCTGGGGGAAACTCTATGTCAAATTCATAGGTCTGCCACTACTGTATGTAACAATTTTGTTGTATAAAGTAGTCTACAATGGGCTGCATTCATACTGAATCAACATTTTCTGATGGAAAAGCCTACCGAACTGATCAGAAAATAGGATCAGGGTGTAAGAATAGGGAAACTGGTGTTTAGCCCATTGGAAATGCAGAAAATTTTGGTTTGGATCAAATGTGAATAAAGCTGAAGCTGTAATCATCAGACAATAAATTTTACCTGTGCCATTGTTTCAACCACATTAGCATGCCTGTTTCGTATTGTTGTCAAGCTTTCGGTGAACCTACAAGAAACATTACAAGAAAAAATGTTATTAGTATAAACATAAAATTTAAAAAATTAATAATGAAATTTCTTTTCTGCATAATGCTTATTATCACTTTCCATCCACTCTTTTCTTAGTTACAAAACAAAAACATTTTGAAAATTTTATTTTGATAAAAACCTTAATGGTTATGAATAACAATCATAAAAAAAAAGGTTGTTGGTTATAGTAAACTTAAAATCATGTTGTACTGTATTTTTAATACGAATTAAAGGTTATGATAGTCCGTACTTCATGCAAAAAATGTTAACATTAGCAACAAATCATCTAAAGAATCTATGGATATTACATTATTCAAATAAATGCCACAATTTACCTTTCTCTTGTTTTTGAATTATTAACAGCCACCTCAAATTCTAGAAGGTCTTGTAAAGTTTGTAAGTACCTTTCAGTAAAAACAAAATTTTAACAAAATAGATAAAGAATTTCAAATGACACAAAACAATAAATAATTAAAATATGCTGAATCAAATCAAATCAGATATATTTCACTTGTAACATGGAAAACACAATGCATTTTGCAATAAAAAAATTTAAAAATAATAATTTTAATAAGTTTACAACATATTGTGCTTGGTTTTTTTTAATCAATTACCATAAACATTTTTACAATACAATAATTGTCTCATTTCAAAATTGCATTGACAATCAGACACATTTGACTAATCTTACATCACAAAAACTCTACATAAACAGTATTATAATAATAATATTTACATGTTATAGAAGAAACAAAAGAGAAAAAAGAATTTAAGTTTCTGTTTGCTACTATACACTTGTAACGCCATATGGATCATATGTATGGAATTAGGGAACAAGGTCAAGTTACAATAGTTCAATAGAAAGAAACTGAGACTTGCTTTTGCCAAAATAATTTAATTTAAATACAGTAATTACTAATTTTAAGTGGACCTATTTTGCAGGCCTATAATGACTCTCTTACAAAGTAGTCCAAATCTTAATCTATAAATACAGTCTTTTTCACATAAAGTACAAGATATTCAACAATAATTTAATACAGTATAACTATATAACTATCTGTCCAAGGACAGTTGAGTTCAAACAGATAAATAATAATTAAAAAAATACAAGAAAAAAACAATACCAACAACAGCAAACAATATAATATTCCTTCAATATATTTTACTAAACAATTGATCCATTCCTACAATATCAAGTATTGTACTTGAGTGTACAACTTTTTACTAACTACAGTACAGTTAGTACAGCATAATTTGATATCAAGGTTCTTCAATTGGTACAACACACTTTCCTGGCATATTGTTGTATTGAATCAGACCTTGTACAACAATGGAGCATGTTATTCCTTCCTGGACAATAACAATTTGGCAAAAAAAAACCTGACCGACTCAAATTTTTGAAAACCAAGCATCAGTCTTTTTCGCAAATATTTTTTTAAAACAAGGACTAACATAATTGTTGTAGTTGTATGAATTTAATTAAAAGGCAAATTTTACTTTAAAATAATAATAAATAAATGGATTCTAAAGTATATTTAACTAAAGAAACATGATACCTTAAACACTGAATTTTAGCCCTGTTAATAGTACTGTATACTAACCAAAATGTACAGTCAGCAATGAACGCTAAAGTTACTAAAGTTAGGCCAGACTCTAAGCTACAGTATTGTTGAAAAAAAAAAACAGAGACCACAATACCCTGATTTTTAGAAATCACTGTCCTTGGTCAACACAATTGTTTTGGCCTTCCATAAATATTAATTATTTTAACAAGAAATATCTTATTTTAATTGAACACTTACCAGCTATTCACCAATTTCACTGAAGGCATTTTCAAGAGGTTCTCCGGTAACAAGTTCATCTCCTTCATCATGTTGCAGATTCGGACAGGTAACTCCTGTCTTAAAAACTCAAATGATTTCTTCTCATTTGCACTTTTCATACCTGAAAAAGATTCAATGAAAATTTAAAATGACATGAAAATACAACATGACAAATTTTGGTATAAAATAGAGTATTTTCTTAATACCATATTTTCATGGGTGTAAGCCCACCCCTACTTTACACCCAATTTTACATACCAGCCTCTCCTCGAGCAAAAGCCCAGGGTATGATTTGAGTGAGTATCTTATGCCTACAGTAGCTTAACAGACTTTTTACAAATACAGTAATCTAAAAATACTAACAAAAAAAAGGTATCAAATATTGGCATTCAATTAGGCATGTAGTGCTAAAAAGAATGCCTTTTGATTGAAGAAAAATGGATTTCCCAGGTATAAGCCCAGCACCACCCACTGATGTTCAAGGGTTGGACTTGTAACAAAGTACTATGGTATTTATTGGTATATTATTAAGAAACCAGGACAAATAGAAGACTGGGATTTCAAAGTGCTAATACTGTATACAAAGCGATGTCTTCCTCTGCCTTATCGTTTGTTACTTCAGTATTAAAGAGTTTGTTTTTGTGGTTCCTTATTTTCCTACATCTCAATCTCAAGTACCTATCCTCCTACAGTATTATATTATAGGTATAATTGTAGAGTTCCGTACTGTATGACTACACATATATATCCATCATCTGATTTTTGGTAGTCATTGGCCTCATATTGAATAATAATAGAAACTGAGGTTACAAATCCTGTTTATAGAAATACTTAGTCATGAAATAGAACGCAATTCACTCTTACAATATAAATCATGGAATGATTGATCAATTTATAGATTGTAAAATGACATGTATTAAGTCATTGTTTTTTACTTTCATTCAATACCTATAGTAACTTAAGAAATTAAAGTTATAATTAAATTATTATTCACATTTAAAAAATATACTATAAATTACTTGAAGAATATCTTATCATACAGGATCAAAAATCCAAAAAGATAAATAGGTTTATTGCAGCTTTTATTATAGAATGTAGTATTTTGTTGAATATTTCAATTAAGTACAACAATGTCCTAATCAGCTAATGAGAACAACAACATTTTATATACAGTAACAACAGGAATTGTAAAGTGCCAATTCAAAATATACAGTATCAAAGGCACTGGGTGAGGAAAATAAGATAAGTTATTAACATTCTTGAAACAAATAGGATTTTAGATTTTTCTAAATAAGTAATTCAAGTGATTTGCAAAACCGAAAGTATTCAAGAGTTCCATGTAGAAAGGACTTTCTTTAAAAATTTATTATTTAGCTTAATCACTGCACACAATGATCAAGCGCTTTGTAACCATGAGGAAAAGGTGCTATATAAATGACCATTATTATTATTACTGTACTAATTAAATAACAGAATAACAAAACATAGCAAAAAGGAAAAGATGAACAGGTGTCAAGCAACTCTATCTACATCCTCCCTTGAACAAATTGATGTCCTATCAAACAAACAAGATATGGAAAATTTTTGATGGACCACTGTTTTTGTTTTGGTTCTTAAGAGACGGAGCTGTCAAGATATATTTGGATAAGAAATGAAGATGGCGGAAGAAAATGTAGAGATTAGGTATTATTGAAAAATAGACTGATATAATGAAAGAGATGAGACTTGAAATTATACTGTATAAAATCTTGGAAAATTAAAATATTATTTCTGTTCCAGACACCATCTGACCTTTTACTTACAGATGTTGTGCCTTATGTTGTAGGATATTTAACTGATTTACATTGTCTCTAGTAAATCAATATCGTCAATTACCGCTGTCTCATTGCATACTACAGTATTATCACTGTACCAAAATTTCAGTGTGATGCAAACCATAAAAGGACTCTGATTGGCTAATTATGTGGGTGTGTACAAGGTTGGACAAAGATTACTTTGCATCATAAATGGTTAATTCATACCACCAGTAGAAATGGATTGAACGAAAAATGGCTTACAACTGAAATTTTAAACTACAGCTGTATGCAAGTCCATTTTTAAACAACTAATGATTATACTTAATAATGCTGTTGGTGATTAACAGTATCTTTTAAATCCTAAAGTTCAATGAATTATTCTAGATTTCATAGAAACATGTATGTCACCGACTGGCCTGTGGTGGTATGGTAAAATTATATTTGAGTTATTCCAACTAGCATTGATTGACTGTACACACAAAATAAACTACTGTACGGTAAACATTAAACGCTTCTTTATACCTACATCAAAGGGCATTATGCCCAAATTAAAACTTCAATGTATAAATTTTGATTCTTACTAAAAACTTTACTTTTTGTAAATACTGAAAAAATATACTTAATATAGCACACAGATCTTGGAAATGTGAAGGGATTAAAATCAAGTTAATAATTCTACATTAAAAAATACACTTTCCAATACAGGATGAAAACACAGTTGTCATGATTAGATGATTTATCTTTAAAAAAAAAAAGCAGACAACTACTGTATGGCTGTAGATGATTGAATGTTGAATTAAGACTTGATATGTAGGAGTATGTTTTAGTTATTATACAGTACAGGCAACAAATGAAAATATCTGAGTAGTTAGATTTTTGAATTATTATAAAACATACCTAAACCTATTCAAAAACTGATATATTAAAAACTAAAGTACTCAAATGTTTATACAGTATGTTGATTATCATGCATATTTTAAGGCCTATATTTTTAGTCATGATAATAAACATTATTAAAAACATAACAAATACTCAAGTAATTCAATTTTGAATTAAGATAACATGTAAACTCTTTTACAAGAACACATTTTATTAGAATACTGAGGCTGAAATTGCTTAAAAATAAGAACAAATTGAGGTTCGGTGACTTATAAAAAAAAGTGTATGGCATTGGCAACCTACTGTACAGCAGGTATTAAGCACAAAGGCAATCAATGAAAAAGTAGTAGTATATCATAATGCAAAAAAATATATAGCTGCCTGTATTAAAAGTCACATGCAATTATTGAAAGAACTAAAACTACTACTATTTCAAAGATGAATCAATCATACAGCTGTACACTATACTGAAGCATACAGTAGGCCTACATTTTTTAGTTTAGTCATGGTAATTAAAAAATGTATTGAAAACATATTAATAAACTTAATGTCAATGTTGGCTAATATCATAAAAATTTATTATAAAAAGTATGGCAGCCTGTAATATTAATACAGAAGGGTCATCAAATCTCCTTGAAGTCGCAGGAGTTTTCCTGAAAATCAGGACAACCTCCCACACTCCTGCAAGCACAAACCTCCTGGGAAATAATACATCCCATGCAAATTCACAATAAATATCTGCATGTTTTAATTAATTTATATTTATCAATTGTCTCACTGAAATCAGTGACGATGGGTAACGTCATGCAAAGCAAAATAAAATTACATGTTTTAAGAAAGCTCATTTAACTGAGATTTTTTCCAGCTTGGGACGCCTGATGATACAGAGGCAATTAACCAAAACTAGGCCTTAAATAAGAAAGGACTGAACAGTAAAGTACGCTTGGTTAGGGCAAAAGTACCAAATTTTAAATGGTCATTAAATGGCAACCCCAAACAAAATGACAAAAGCAAACCAAAAAGAAAATTAGGGGAGGGCCAGTAATGCATTTGAAAAACGTCAGGTCCATTGCATTGGTGTTTATTCCCTAATGACACGTTTTATAACAAATACAGTACATGATACAGTTACAGACAGCATAAATACAATGTCAAGTGATAGGCCTAGGCTATGTAGACCTCCTCTTTCTACTACTACTACTACTAGGCCTAGCCTACAGTAGGCCTACTACCTAGGCCTGGCTGGGGCTAGGCCACACACACACACACACACACACATAATGTGTGTACAGTCCACACACACAGGTCAGGGCACAGGCAGACAAAAAAGTGGTTGTTTTATTTTATTTTATTTATTTATTTTTTGTATTTTTAGTACTCACCAAATTCTAAAAACTGTTTAATAGATAGAGGTGATGGTGAGAATCTTGAATAATGATCCATGCGAGCTGGTAACCCTTTTAAAGAGTTACATAGAAACAACGTGAGCTTCATTTCTAAAGTGGCGGTGACAGGACAGGGAACAGCATAAACAGCAGCCTAGCCTGGCTGTAGACAGCTACTAACAACAAGAGAGACAGCTGGCCTACGTTTTACAAACCGTTTAGCACTGCAAATACGTTGAATATGACGAATATTCCCTACTAAATTACAGTAAGTGGCTAAACAAATGTCGAACAACTATACTATATAGGGTATCCCAGTATTTTTATTTGTCGTATTGCCTCTTCCTGACTTATCACTAATAAACACACATCACTGTGTGTACTTGTTTTGATTTCTCAACAAAATATTCCATTGAATTTGGTACGCATGCGTAAACCTCGTCACGCTCAAAGATCATCCCTCTCTCTGAGAGAAAAGGCGGATAGCGCGGGAAATTTGTTCTGGTCAGCGCCAAGCAACAAGCGTTTTGGTCTTTGTTTTGTTCAGTGGCGTATCTTGAAGTCTTGAAATGGAGTGCTGATGGGGTGGGCAGTGGCGTAAATACCGCAGGTTCATGAACCTGGGCCCCAGACCTCTATAAAGGTCCCGCTCCTCCCTTATAAAAATCTAACAAAGCAATTTTTTTATTGTAACATTTAACTATACTATGCTTCTTCCCAGTCAAGTAATTTTGAAACCACAATAACTCGTTTCCTTTACACCCATATAGGCCTATTTTTCAATTTTTTTTATAGTAGTAATGTATGATTTATTATGTCAAAACACAATATAAATAAAGCACGTGGCTATCATTCCGCTGTCATATTAATGGGTTTAACATTTTTAAGGTCATATTCATTGAGATAGGCCTATGTAATAATTTGATCTTTTACTTTCAAGGGCCCCGACTGCACTCTTGAACAGGGCCCCTCACAACCTAGTCACGCCACTGGGGTGGGGGTGGGGCGCTAAGGTGAAGTGTGTGGGGGTAATTCGGAAAATAATGTGATTTTCAATTAATTTACTGTGATTGTTTGGGGAGGGGCGGGTGCCGCGACCCCCTAGATACGCCACTTTTGTTGGACAATTAAATGCAGTGACTTGACAGATCGAAGAAAAAAAAAGAAGAGAAAAACTGAAGAATACATAAGATAAACAAAAAAAAAATGGAAAAGATAAGAAAAGAACGGAATTATAGAGAAGAGAAAAGAATAGAAGTGGACAGGAAAAGATAAGAAATAAGTTTTAAAAAGTTTAGGAAACAAATAAACAGAAGGAAATGAGATAAGAAAATAAAGGATTATTTTAAATGAAATGGAGATGAAAGAAATGAAACAAACAGAAATTATATAGAGTACAGTGGCGGATCCAAGGGGTGGGGGTCAAGGAGTTCGGACAAACCACACCCCCCCCCCACCCATGTGAAGAATCGTAACAAAATACAGCTGGGTCCTGGCTTACAAAAGGCATGCTAACCTACCTGGCATAGACACTGTTTTTGGTTAGAGTCGTAAGACTACATATCTAACTACTCAATGTTGTTGGAATATAATAATATATTGCCTGTCTTTGATTTTTTTCCTCAATGATATGCCTAGCCTAAAGAATGAGATGAAATTACCTGACGACCTTTTTTCAAGGGGGGGGGGGGGAGGACTTTGAATTTTGAAGAACTTAAAGGTCATTAAAAGATTCCACAGAAGTTGGGAAAGCTCATTTCCGGCCATCTAGGAATCAACGCCCCTGTCTAAACTATTGTGGTTGAATTAAATTTTTTTAAAAAGAAGTCTTTATTTAGAAAAAATATGCCTATTTTACAACTGGGCACGTGCTAAACAGTGTGCGTGGCACGGTGAAAAACAAATCAAGTAAACCTAAATAACGTGTCACCTCACATAATAAACAACTTGATATAAAGTGATTAAACACGGTAATAAAATTGCAAATTTAATACACTGTACTGAAATTAAAAACTTTTAAAATCTCAAATGAATTGAACATGGCATGAGAACCGTGCTCCATAAATTTTCCCACAGGGTTCCGACATGTCTCAACATCGGGGTAAGGAGCCTACCAGAGCCTCATCAAGGTCCCGGAATCAAAACTGCATGAGCCACGGGGAATTCCCCTGCACTCACTCTGCTTGCGCGACCACAATGAGACTAGAGCCATTGGGGGCGGGGCTACAGCCACCCTTCCCCACCCCCACTGTCGGGAATGCTACCCCCCGTCGGGGAAGTTAGGAGGGTTTTGTCGAGGGATAAAAAAAAAATATTAACGTTAGATCAAATGTTGGTAGCATGAATTTGGATAGCTGCCTACATAAATTAATAGTTTGGACGCCAATGATAGGGCCTAGAAAAAGACACCCTGTATAAGCGTCTCGGCTTATTATTTTAAAAAAAAGTTCTCATTAGGCAACACCCACACCCAAACCCTCCTCAGGCTATGATGCACTGCTACGCGCTAAAGTACCGTAACTCTTGCCCTGCCTATCGGTGACGCAGGAAAGGCACTCACCCCCGGAAGTGGGTTAATTAGTTAACAACCAATGGCGTGTATCCAGTGGCGTATCTAGGGGGAGCGCGGCGGTGCACGTCCCCCAAAAAGTACTCGTGCCCCCCCCCTCCAGTCGCCACCCAACAATCACGGTTAAGTAGTTAAAAATCACCTATCACCTTATTTTGTGAATTAGCGCCCCTCTCGATTTCTTGTCTCTTATACACATCTAGATGTGTATAAGAGACAGTTTCCTTTACACCCATATACCCCCTCACACTCCCCCTAGATACGCCTTTGTTTACAACTGACCAATCAGAAAAGAATAATATGCGGTCCCATAAACATACGGGCTGTCTCACAAGCGCACATACTGTACATTATTTTTTTTACGTTTAAATTTGGTAATTTTTTATTTAACTTTTGCTAAAATTTTACATAGTAGGCCTATGTTGACATATGTATGTACTGTGAAAATACACCACGTCGTTGAAAGTGGCACGTTTCACATCTAGACTATGTGTATGTCCAATTTGTATTGATTTATTTTACTCCGAGACCTCGATTAATTTACGATTCTTTAAATTTAATAATATTAATGAACGTTAACCTGCAACATAATTAATGACATTTCCATAATGTTTTTAATTAGATTGATTCATTTATCAAAGTTGCTATTTTTATCGCTAGGCCTATCAAAATTTTTGATAGACTACTGAACATAGGAAAATAAAAACACTGAATAATGTTTGCTCTCAAACCGTGGCGGATTCAGGGGGTGGGGGGACTCCCGGCCCGGGCCCTCCCCAAATGATGAAATAACAAAAAGAAAATTATATTCAAATTTTAAATCTTAGAATGGGATTTCCGGCTGCGTAGGGCCTCCCCCTAAAAAATTAAAAATTTTGCTAGACCTCAGCCCCCACCATATCGACCCTCTAAGGGGTAAAAAGCGATTGTTCATATAGAAAACAAAAGAAATAAGAGAAGTTTTTACACTAGGACGATTCGATAACGATTTATCGTGTATGCAATAACAAAATATTTTAACAAATCAAATCAGATGACGTCATAATCATGGAACGATAAAATCGTTGCTACTACGACGATTTTAATGTTTAACTCTTATTTCTTTTATTTTCTATGAACAATTGCTTTTTAGCTTTGTTATCGTTATCGTTGAAGTATAAACAGGCCTTAACTCTGAAGGTCCTTCGCCTTAACTCTGAAGGTCCTTCCCCTTCCCCCTTATTTCCTGGACTATGCCACTTCTTCAAAATCTATTAAGACCTGAAAATACCAAGAATGCCTGAGGGCTAGTGGTCTTTATCCGAAATAATGTAAAGGCAATTACTATAACAACTCTCTGGTAAAGGTAAGAATAAATACTAAAGAAAAGTAGCTGCATGATCCCCTCTCAAAATCCCCAGGAGGATCGCATGCTCTCCATGCATATCCTCCATGGTATGACGTAACAGCGATTAGCCAATCATTAATCTTATAAGCTGGGGCCGGCTAGGTTTCTGCTGGAAGTCGCGAGGAGTCAGATCGGATATCCGACGAGGGGCCTGTTGCAGGACTAGGCTTAAGTATTGAATTATTGAGCCAGGGTTCTTTGTAAACTTCATGTTTTAATTTGGTTACATCTTAGCTTGCTTGCCATTAGGTAAATTATCATCTTGGCAACAGAGCAAATACTGCTGCACACTAGAAAGAAGTTTGGGACTCAGTAGAGTGCCTAGCTAGCTAGCCTAGGAGGCCCAGGAGGCCTACTTTAATAAAATAGGGCCTAGGCCTAGGTGGTAAAGTACAGCAGAATTATGGCTGGTTGGGTTGGTGGAAAGCCTAGCTACATAGCTACAGCCTAGGATAACTTTTAGTGTAGACTGGGCGTGGGGGCCTCCTCCTAGTCTAGCCATGACTATCTGTAGGTTTAGGCCTAGGCAGGGCTCAAAAAAGAAAAAATGACATGGAATTCATTAGAAAGTAAGGCCTGCACATCAGAAAGAAGTTATAAAAATGAAATGCCATCATATATTAATTTAATTGAGAAAATTCTCAAGAGGTGCATATGGTCATGATGCACCATACCTGCACAGTCAATGACATTTACCTCAGTTTCACACATGCTTGGACAATAATAAAAAGAGAGATTACAAGATGTACCATGCAAACTTACAGAAACATTTTGAACAATTATTGATTATGAGTACATACAGATACTTTAAAGGTTGAACTGTTCAGAGCTCACCCAATTTATTTCCCTATGTTCTTGAGTATGCACCATCAAACATACAGCAAGCAGGTGGAAGGCCTACTTTACCTTTGCATGTATTTTAAAAATTAAATGAATTTAAATTACAGAAAAAAATCAACATGGCATACCGAATTATTTGCAAGTCACATGGAATCCTTCGCAGTGGAGCCACGCTTCTCCAAGTGCGTTACCTCAGCACCAGCAATGACAGACTGAGTAACAACTACCGTGCTGTTGTTGTTGGAGGGGGTGCTGGTGGTCTGGCCATGGCAAGCATACTGGGATCAAAGTTTGGTAAAGCACAGGTGGCAGTAGTAGAACCTTCAGATGTAAGCCTAATTTGCATATTTCATTTTTGAACAATTAGTTGTGTTGTTAATATCAGTCTTATTGTGAATTATTTGCATATTTTACTTGTCTGATTGTTCATAATTGAATAGTAATAATTGTTTTTATTATATTACTATATTAAATATTATTGTATTGGTTTTTTGTTTTATATCTGTACTATATTTAAAGTGTGCAGAATTTGCAACAACATCCTACCAAGTAACCACCTATATTCCTGGGTGGAGGTGCAATAAAAGGTAGATAAAGTTGCTTGTCTGAGTACACAAGTGATTGGTCACTTTGGGACATGAACCCCAATGTAAATATTGCAAGCATAAACCAAACTGCTGCACCCTCCCATCCCTCAGTATGCTACAGTGTAATACTGTAATAGTTTTTTTGTGATTTGTGTATTATATATTTGAGCACTAGTAATTATTTGTTTTGTTGTAAGTGCAGAGGAACCCCCCCCCCCTTTTGGGACACCCCTATTATGGGGACATGACTGCAAAAAAAGAAAAAAAATATACCTTTTAACACTATGGCCAACCCTTATTCAGGGGACACCCCTATTAAGGAGACATAAATTTCGGACCTGAAAGGTGTCCCCATATTTGGGGTTCTACTGTATCTGTTCTAGTATTTGTTCAGCAATGCGTAACCCATCACATTCTTGATTACTTTTTTTTTTACTGTAGAACCACTATTATCAGCCAATGTGGACAATGGTAGGTGGTGGTCTAAAGACCTTCGGACAGTCTGCTCGGATGACTAAGGACGTTTTCCCATCCAAAGCAACATGGATACAAGATTCAGCTGTTGGATTTGATCCTGATAACAACACAGTTCTAACAAAAGATGGAAAGCAGTTAAAATATGACATACTGGTTGTTGCAATGGGTTTACAGTTGCGTTTTGAACAAGTGGGTGGAATATTAATTATTTTTTTGTCATTGGTCACCCTCTTTGGAAGTTGTGGATCACTGGGAAATTTATTTAATCTCCCCCAAACATTGGTGTACAATAATTATAAAACTTAATATAACATTAATGTACCATTTTTAATTCTATATGAGACATATTTGACACATTGTTCAAAAATTATTTGTTGTGAATTGTATTATTCAGAATAAGAAAGGTGGTGGTCTAAAGACCTTTGGACAGTCTGCTCGGATGACTAAGGACGTTTTCCCATCCAAAGCAACATGGATACAAGATTCAGCTGTTGGATTTGATCCTGATAACAACACAGTTCTAACAAAAGATGGAAAGCAGTTAAAATATGACATACTGGTTGTTGCAATGGGTTTACAGTTGCGTTTCGAACAAGTTAGTGGAATATTAATTATTTTTTTGTCATTGGTCACCCTCTTTGGAAGTTGTGGATCACTGGGAAATTTATTTAATCTCCCCCAAACATTGGTGTACAATAATTATAAAACTTAATATAACATTAATGTACCATTTTTAATTCTATATGAGACATATTTGACACATTGTTCAAAAATTATTTGTTGTGAATTGTATTATTCAGAATAAGAAATATTTAAACATATTACTCCTCCATGAATAAAAGAATGCTGCAGTCTTTGTATTAAAGTTTAATAGTCTCTTAGCTTAGCTTAGTACTGTAGTTTGATGTTCGAATCGAAAATGACCAGAATTACTATGACATCAACAACTTTAACAAAAGATTAACATACCCTGTATAAATTTTAGGAATGCATAATTGTTACATTTGCATTTCAGGTCAAAGGATTACAGGAAGCACTTGATAATGACCCAATGGTATGCTCCAACTACTCAGCTGACACCGTACTGAAGACTTTCCCAGCCATTCAGAAGCTTGAAGCTGGCAACGCCATCTTTACATTTCCAAATACGCCCATTAAATGTGCTGGCGCTCCACAGAAGATAATGTACTTGGCTGAGCATTACTTCTCAAAGGTATGAAGGGCTGAATTACAGACCCTGGGACAGATAGAGAGATCTTAGTACACACAGACTCTGGGATAGATATACAGACCTAATTGGTATAGAATCACCCTTTGACCTATTCAGGTACTCTAGGGCAGATACTCAGACCTGGGAACAGACTGACAGACCTGGGACAGATACACATACAAATACAATGGACATTTAGATTATGCTTGAGTGAAAAAATATATTTTGCAAATTTTTTTTTGTAGCATGGAAAGCGGGACAAGATAAATATTATCTACAACTCATCTCTTCCTGTAATCTTTGGTGTGCAGAAATATGCAAATGAGCTGTTGAAAATTGTGGAAAAGCGAAATATTGATGTTAATTTTAGACACAATCTAGTTGAAGTGAACCATGAGAAAAAAGAAGCAGTGTTTGTAAAACTTGACTCAGAAAACCAAGATACTGTCAACTTCAATGTAAGTAATCGCATGGGCATAAGCTGGAGGAAGGGTCCGCATCCCCCTCCCCTGCCATGCAGCAAATGGCGATAGAAGTGCTTTATGGAGCCAATTGCTTAATACTTGTTATTTACCAGTTGTTATTGTGCATTCTTATTGCTCAAATCTGTCCCAGAAGAAGATTTTTTATCAAAAAAAGATTATCTCTGGTATAGATGAGATGATGATGATAATTAGGATTATATACTGTATATTAATATATCAAGGTATATTTACTCATAAAAACAAAACATCAAAATTCACAGCAAAATTTACTAGCAGTTTAAAAAAGTGAATTGTGAAAGAGTAAACTCATACATAGTACTATAATTATTTTTACTATTATTATTATTATTTTATTGTTATTAATATTATTGATAATGATGATGTTAATATGTACTACTACTACTGTTAATAATTTATTAATAAAAAATAATGCACGTAAATAATGTTACTTCAATTCTCAAACAGTATGATTTCCTTCATGTGACTCCGCCAATGAGCCCTCCTGAAATACTGAAAAACAGTCCGATTGCAGCAGAGAATGGCTTCCTATCTGTACACAAGGAGACTGGTCAGCACACCAAATACCCAAATGTCTTTGGAATAGGTGATTGCACAGATATACCAACTGCAAAGACCGCAGCAGCTGTTGGTAAGTTTAAGGCTTTGTCCACACTGTCTCTCAGTGCAGATATCTTTTGTCCTTGGGCAAGACACTTGCATTTGTCTCTCTCTCTCTCTCTCTACCCAGGAGTATAAATGGGTACCGGCATAATATTCTGGGAAGGTAATCAGACTCGCTGTGAGGAGTGGCGATCCCCTCAAAGCATTGCACATTCTTGCCCCAATGCTTACGAAAGAGGGATGGGCACTCCGGACCTGTATAGGTTCGACTACCTTTACCTTTACCACCCTAGCAAATTTTCTTGACAAAAAACTCTTGTATGCACATATTATAATAATAATAATAATAATAATAACGATAATGAATACGAACAACTTTTGTCAATTAAAATTTGATAGTCTGGCACAGGGCTTCAGATTTTGATTTCTGATTGTTTGTGTTGGCATTACAGTGTGTATCTCATATCATGTACAGTAAAGTCCGGTTGCACACGTTTTACAAAGTGATAATGTATATTTTTCCTAATAAAATCAAGTTTCTTGTATTTATTTATTAATAGTTCAAATCTTTTGTTTTATTTCTGGTATAATAATCACTATATTAATGTAATAGACCTATACTGAACAATGAACTACCAACGCAAGCATCATCGGATTGAGCGCACATGTTTACTATGACAAACAAGAGTGTTGGGGTCAGCAACTTATTGACGTCGGCGATCTAACAAGTAGAATAAACACGATAGAAAGGGCCATTAAACATACAGATGTTTGAATAAGAGTTAAAATAATATTTTTTTCAAGTGAAAGCATGCCAGCGATTAAAATAATTTGGTTTTTATCAAAGGTAAATTCAGCTAGGCTCTACCGCGGTAGACCACGCTGCTGCACTGTCGGTTCGTCTGGCCACCGTCAGTGTATTGGCGCTCAATGGCAGGGGATGCTAGGCCTAGGTATTGGAAACTGACACCCGATCTAGTTTACAAATTTTTCAATTTAGGAACACCCCTTGGTACCATGTAAAATAGACGTTTTACTGTATATACTTCAATGACATTTCCATTGTTGGTAACTGAAACTGCTGAAATTGCTGCTCAAATAGCTTTGTGAATCAGTATTCGTTATACTAATATTTCTAAATTAGTAGTTTGAAAACTTGATTTCTTCATAGCTGCTCAATCCGGTGTGCTGAAGAAGACAATAGAAGCTGTCTTAAGTGGCAAAGAACCGCAAAAATTAGTAAGTTCAACTATTGCTACCTTTCCAACTCATGTTTCACACAGTACAAGGAGTAGGTATACACATAGATCAATCTCCATGTTCCTCAGCCACAAACTCTAGCCTCAAACAAGCTTAAAACATTTTTTAACTGATGCAGGTATGTTTTTTTTAATGCAATGTGGCAGTTTGATACTGTTAGCGGAATGTATATGCTCAGAGCATGAATTTGTGCTCAGATTATATTTAGTTGAACTACATGGGCACATTTGTGTGTAAAAATATTTCTTTGTAATTTTGGTGTTTTAACACTCTGACCACCAGGGGTTTGAAAAAGTAGTACTAGCCACCGCCAGAAAATTTTAACACTTTGCCGAAGCTTGTAGAGAGTGCGTATGTGATCAGATTGACATGTAGTGAATACTACAAGAACTACAAACTTTTTAGCGTTACAATGGTACCAAACACTTTATTTTAATTACAGTCTGCGACCCGTAACATAAAAATGAAAATAACTCACTTTTAGAGATTTACATAATTTCGCACAACAAAGCTGAGATAATCGCGATTCATGAAAGTAAATCAGTACCGCTCTATGCTAATGTAAACAAACAAACAGTGAAATACGTACGCTTCAGACTGAATATATAGTGTTCAAATTGTTAGTACATGTCGGTAATTACCCCATCTAACAGATTCCGTAAAAAAAACCTGAAACCTGGAGATCTCTGTGTTTGGCAGTCAAGCGTTGTGATACCAAACACGGAGATCTCAGTGTTTGGCGGGCAGAGTGTTAAATAGGAATGATGTTTTTTTGCCCTACCAGACGTGTTATACTGAATGCTCAGTACCTTCACAAGTACTTGTGACTCGGGTGGAAATCAAACCCACAACCTCCAGATAATTAACCTGGTGTCATAACCACTAGAACAGATCCCCAATTACAGGTAGCAGCGGGTACTGCAATGGTATTTCAATTATAAAGTAAGATCACTTGCACACATTTAATTGTACCCTTTCATTTTTTCATATATACCTGTATACCTTGATAAACATATTGTACAGTTCTGATGGCATACAAAAGATTGTGTTCCAATGATTCCATTATATTTTATTGGGGTGGGGGAGGGGGTTGAAAAAATAAATAGTGGTAGCATAATCAGTTACTGGTACATAATCAGTTATACCAGATTACTAACATTTGTATTATTTATTTATACAGTATGATGGATATACTTCTTGCCCATTGGTTGTTGGATATAATAAATGCATCTTAGCTGAGTTTGACTTCAATGCTCAACCACTTGAGACCTTCCCAATTGACCAGGGTAAGCAGAGAAGGTCAATGTACTATCTCAAAAAAGACATGATGCCAGAGTTCTACTGGAAGGGCTTGATCAAGTAAGTATCGGGGGTGGTTGAGGCATTTCATAACACATGGTTATCCCCTCCTTCTTGTGACCTGTCCCTAAGTATCATCATGGAAGTATTATTGAGAAGATCACTCGGCAACAGACCCCTTTGACGCAACAAACCAATGTGTTCCCTGCCTTTGGATCGCACGCGGGCGTATTAACCTATAATTCACATTTTTTCCGTTAGCAACAACTCGGCAATGACATGCATTTATACGCTTCAGCACAGTAGTTGTGCGATAAAGCGTTTGATTTTAACCCATTAAATATCTTTATAATGAACAATGTTCCCCTGTTTGGATTTTTTTCTGAATTTTAGTATGTTATTATTTGTATGTTTCAGGAACGGATTCCGCAAAATATTTCTGTTGAAATTACTTCTGTGTTCATTATAATTTTGTCTAAAGATCGATTGGTTCGACTATAAAGCTAAGGCAGCATAAAACTGAAAATTACTCTGATTTTGGATTGAATTTTTAAATAGTTAACCCTCGTTAACCCTAAAATAACTTAGTTTATTATAATCCTCCATCATTCCTTAATTAATATTATTATGTTTGGTATTTCTTGAAAGATCAATGTATTTCATTGTGGGATTGACTGTAAGTAGTGCAGCACAATGAGAAAAGAGCGTGCTCTCTATTTCGCCATGTTCAATTTTTTGGTAATCTAAGCCTGATGAGCATTTGGTGGTGGGGAACACATTTGACTTCAAAGGCATCGCGCAAACGTTCTTCACACGCTGCGGCAGCTTTGTTTTTGGTTCATTTGCAGAGTGCTGCGTGCGCGTAGCTTTTTCGAGTGATCTCCTTCTCAATAATACCTCTATGGTATCATCAACATTATGTTACTATTGTCTGACCCTGTCGGAGAACTTTCTCTTCCCCCTGAATGAAATACTAGAGCAGGAATTGGTCGCACAAAAATGGGTCGGAGGGCCTTACTAAAACTTTTACATTTTCCAGGGTGCTTGCAAAATCTACACTTTTTTAATAAAATTTTACTTTTTACTGATGTTAAGTGTCAAGCCCAAGGCCATAACAGCAAGAGATTTTCTTGCTGAAGATGGTAGGGGACCTTACATGTAGTGTTTTTAACTTATTGTCGCTGTCAACAACAACACTGCTGTCAGGCTGCACATTGCCAACATGTGTGCTAGAGCCACCACTGATTGAATGTAGTTCAGGATTTCAACCCTGGTCATATCATTGGTTTTAAGCATGGCACATTATTAATTGCCTCACTCCACCATTGAGGTATAAGTACCTTGTTGGGTTGGTATTACTGCAATATGTATAACATTCTTATCAGTGAGTTCAAATATTGGTCGCGACCCAGAATTATATTAGAGAGATCCAAAGATTTTATAAAATTGAATTTTTTTATATCCTGCTAAAATTTGTTGTAGTAAAGAGAGTGCATTCAAAGTATCATTAAAAAATTTTACAGGATTTAATCTTGTATCTGTTGAGTACAGTATCTGTTTTTTAATGTTTAATAAACATTTATATTTGGGTGGTCGGCCAAAAAGTATGAGAACCGCTGTTCTATAGGCATTTCTTAGTTCATAATTCATTATTATAATATTAGATTAATACATTTACTTTTTTTTCTTGCTTTAAGGGGTAAATGGGCTGGACCTGGTGGATTCCGTAAAGCTTTCCGTCTTGGAATGGGAAAGTGAATTAATCAAGAACATTTTCAAGAGTGCCAAAACTTAGATTATTTTGTTTTCCTATATTCTTATCAAGAAAAAAAAGCATGATTTAAAAGTCAAAAACAATCATGTATCTGGATCAAAACATAATTACTTGAATTTGAAGCAACTGAAATCAGTTTTGTATATTTATAATCTACACATGATATTTGTTGTCACAATGTATCTGTAGTATAAAAATAATTATATTGTCTTCCAATTAGCATATTAACTATTAATATGCCAATAGTAATAAGATTGTATTTCAACTGTTAAAAATTTGTAATCTTGTTTTTTAGATTCTCATAATCTTAATTTTTTTATGTTTTCATTTATAGCTGCAAACCTTTTTAAAATCACTGTTTTATAATCCATCATTTTATAATTGCTTCTATTATGGATGCTTGTTTGTGTTTGGCTGTAGTACACACAGCCTTATTTGATGGTATACCTTGTAATCGGCTGAAGCACATAGTCTCAATTTGATCCATATTTTTGGTTGGACATAGTAAATAGCCTTATTTTGATCCGTGTCCTGAGATTGGTCGTGGCATGTTCATCAATAGTTGGGAACTTTCGATGTAATGACCTCACTAAAAGTCATCTGTGCATTCGAGAACATTAATTTCTTGTCGCATGAATTCTAGGATGCAATTTACGTTGTGCAGAGAACATAGGTTAGCAGGGGTGGATTTACCCCCCCCCCCTTTGGGAAGGTCAGAAAAAGAAAATCTTGATCTCCGAAAACGATTCAGAGATTATTTTCGGGCATCTAGAATACAAGAATTTCGCGGGGGCATGCCCCAGGATCCCCTAGAGTAGTGTTATCTCGATCGGCCCCACTTTTGGACATCTCTGGATCCGCCCCTGGGTCAGTCACACATGAGCGAAGCGTCGTCATGCAAGCAAATAAAAAGCTTGTACTCTGTTTCCAAAGATTTTTTTCCAATCATTGGATAGTTTTTATTTTCTTTTTCAGTTTGAAATTTGATTACTGTAAAAGTTCCATATACGTTTACTATATTTTATTTAGTTTAAACAGTTCAAAATGTCACAATTTGAAATTTCATAGTTCGTTTCAAGTTTAAGGGATCATATTTTTTTTCTTTTTTTTTCTCATGAAAATTCGAAAAATGATGATCTTGAAATAACAACAATCATTATTTTACTCTTTTGGTGGAGGGAGGGGTCAGAGAAAAGAGTATGTATTTTACTTTCATAAAAATGGTGAAGATGACCACTGATGTATTGGGAGGGGGTTGCATTTAAATTGATGAATTCAGCAATTGCATTGGCTTTCATATCTATAAAGAATATACAGTATCTGGATGTTATTAAGCCAAACACATTCATAGGTTGTACATGGAGACCACAACATGATGGAAAGATACTGTACAATAATCAGATTTGAAGAAGAGCTTATTCAGAAAATGTTTAAAACAGTATTAATGTTTTTATTGAAGGACATTTAATTTTTCTAGTCTACACACATATTTGTAGATGTCTTTATTAAACATCAGTTCTAAGAATTTTGGTGGGAGAATCATTTATGGTTCACTGCATGATACAGTACTGCTATACAATAAAAGTACCATTTTAAGTCTTTTGAGTTGTATTTAATTTGTATTGTACTGATATGAAAGGGGGCACCAGCAGGGCGCCTGGGAGAATACAAATTTTTGGAGAGAAAAAAAAATGGATTTTTTACATATTAGTAGAAAAAAATATAAAAAATTATTCTTGAAATTAACTTGCTCATTTTAAAGGAACATACAAATTATTGTACTGTAACAGTATTTTTTAAATGTTTCCCTATAATTTTATAGCGAAAAAGATAGGAAACTTTTTTTATAACTCCAGTATGAAAATCTGGGTACACATTTTTTTCAACTCAATAATTTCTACGCTAAGTTCCTGATTTGTATGTTACTGCAAAATGATACATCTAATAAGCTTTTGAAGCCCCTTATATTGTTCGTTTCCGGAGCTTCGGCCCCGGGACCACTTCAAAGTGATTTTGAGCATCGATACTGTAATGTAAAGTCTCTCCGAAAAACAGAAAGGAAATATATATAAAAATTATCAAATTGAACAATTTTACGACAAAAAATGATGGAACCACTTCCAGTCCCAGAAAGTGTTCTATCATTTTTAAATTTATATTTTTTCAATTCAACATACCTTTATTTTTTTTAGAATTTTCAATAATTTATATTCTCAAGTCAATGTGTATGTTACTGCAAAATGCACAAGATAATTCAAAATTATTTTGTTTAATGATTTTTTTTTTGTCATTTTCCCACAGTCCCACAAACTGGCTAATCTGATAGAAACAGCCTACACACAAAACCCTATTCACTTTGAATATGACTTTTGAATATGAGTTGTGTTAAAGCAAACAAAATGGCACACAATAAAAAAAAAAGTGACCTGGGCTGGGCTTGAATCTTGAATATTCCTTATAACTTTATAAATCCACGTTAATCCTTCTATCTTTGCATTTCAAAGTAAAGTACTGTAATATTTTTTTATAAAACCTCATTTATTCTGATATTATTGTTGTGGTCCTTTACTTTGCATGCAACTAAAACCTCATATTAGTGTCAAACAACTGTTTTATTACTAGGCCTACTGGTAAAATGCAGGGTTTGTATACTGTATTTAGTTGGAGTTTTGTTTTTCGAAGTACTATTAAGTAGTCATGCTCTTCATTACTTTGACTAAAATATTTATATTTATTATCTACATATTAGTAGACACTAAAATTGATTAAATAAGCATTTGAAAGTCCTAAATTGTTAAAATTTTGGGGCTTTGCCCCCTGGACCACTTTTGAAGCCTTTAGAGAGACGCTCGGCCACGCCCACCTCTAAACCCCCCCCCCACTATTTATGTTAGATTAAGTTATACATAGCATATTTATTACTATTGCCTAATAGCATTGTAATTTATCTTTTAATTTCATTCCTTATATTATTTTCACTTTTGGTACTGCTGTTTATCCTTTGCCAACCTTAGTTCCTTTTTAAAAAAAATTAATTAAAAAAATCATAAAAAATAATAATAATAACTAGATAATACTATAAACATAGTTAAATCAACCATTGTACAAAGTTTACGATTGCGGAAATTCTACCCGGTGTGTGATTAATTGCTATTTCATTTGTTTTTCTTTGATGTTTGGAATTGTCAAATTTTGTATAGGAACCTTGTTCCTCCATGGCTTCGCAGAAATAAATTATATTATTATTGTAGATATTGTTTGTGTTAATGCAAACTTTGACACTCAAGTTTCTTAATTTAACACCAACAAAAATAACATACTTCATACACAAGTTCATAAAAGTTTGTCAATGAACTTATATTATCCTTGAAGCTACAGTAAATAAAGTTATTTCATAACTGATATTTTTCATAAAATCCTAAAAAGTAATGTTATAATTGTGTGCTCAATTTTATCCAAGAGAAAGGAGGGCCAATGTACTTTAAACCTGCAACACAACCATGGAAACACAGTCCTGTGGGCATTGGTGTCTCACCTACCCACTTATTAAGTAAAGGGTCAAATGATTCAACTTTGTTGACATGCTGCTGAAGCTCTCCACCTGTGACAACTATCTTTCCATTAACTATTGTTGCAGTTGGGCAATTGCGTTTGTACCTCATCGGTTCTGACGCAACCATCTGCATCGTATCAGGATCCAAGATCATCACCTCTTTCATCTTGCAATTGCCAAGAAGAAACAGATTGTGTTGCAGAGTAACCACAGGAAACATAGACCTTGTCATACCAGATGTTAGTATCACAGTACATTCCAATGTTTCAAGATCAAACACCTGAAGAGAACAAACTCGTGTGAAAGTAAGGGGTCCTACAATATACAGCTTGTTCTGCATGGCAGCTAAACTTAAGTTACTATTTATTGGATTGATGTCCCCAATGACTGACCAAGATTCAAATCCTGGATCGTAGAGTTCAATGTTTGTTAATGAGTTGGCATCGTCTTCACCGGCTACCACGTAAATCTTGCCATTAAGACTAACGGAGGCATGATTACAACGAGCATTTTGCAAGCCGCAAATCTGTTTCCATTTGTTGTTGGCAAATGAATACCTCCACACATAGTTGCATACATGGTCCTCACAGAAACCACCAATGATATACATGTCCTCCTTAATAGATGTGACAGTGTAGTCAGTGTGATCAAATGGAAGTTTGGTCAGAAAATACCAGCATTCTTCATGATAAAAGATAACTTCTTTCTGCCACTTTCTATCAGATGTCATACCACCAACGACAACAGTTACATCTTGAAGCATTGAAGACCTTGGTTGCCTTATCTGCTTTTCTTTGACCATCATCTCCTGGAGATTCAAGGAATCCTTGATCAAGTCTCTGCATTCTTCTACATTAATGAACAGGACACTGGACATTAAAACATCATTTAAAATTGCTGTATCAACAAATGCTAATTTCACACACTTCAAAACTGATATAAAATCTTTGGTTCTGCATGGTTCAAAATCAACCCATTTTAAACAAGCATTTAAAACAATTTCTTCTCTGTTAACACGAAGTCTTTTATCAGATATCAAGTGAATTAATTTCTCTTTCTTAATTGAAAGGAAATCTTTTGAAAGCGAAACATTCATGAAGTTTGCTAAAATATAATCCCATGAATCTTCCATGAGGTGTTGCCGGTTGTACAAATCTGCAAGCTCATGAATTCCAAGACAGTTTGAAGGGTTTAGATGCAACTTAAGGAAGCTTTCACATTCTGCTACAAGTTTTGGGTACTGCAAAAAACATGCAGTTGCTAATAAGTCACCTGCAAATGACAATCTTATCTCTATACAGCCCAAATATAAGTAATCTATGATCTTCTCCAACATGTCTGGTTTAACATCATGGAGATGGATAACCTTCTCATGACTTTCCCGTAAATCATCAAGAAACATTGCTCGAAAGAAGGTACTACTTGCAGCCAAGACACTCCTGTGGCATGAAATATTTAGATCTCCAGAATTCAAAGTGACATCTGTCAGCTGTTCAAGTTTCCTGTGCTCATGCAAGACTAATAGGAGATCGTGAGCTAAGGAGGTATCTGTGAAGACAGTAACAGCATCAAATTCAGGGGTTTGAGGATTAGATACATTTATGCCGTTCACAACAGCGTCTCTGCTGGTAGCGACTTTTTGTGCTCTTTCCTCAGAGTAGTTCCCTTCAGTAACATCAGTACATTCCAAGTCTAATGAAGCATCTGCCATTTCAAACAGTTTTCACTTTCCTAGAAATCTTCAAGAAACAATAAAAAAAAAAATAACTCCAAAATTAAATAATGAGACAGTGCTTTCAATTTTCAAGACAAACCCATGGTGTAATCCAAAACCTGTCAACCCGACCAATTTTCACTTTTAAAAATTTATGAAAATATTTATCACTTTAAAGAACAATTATCTGGGCATTTAAAGCTGATATTTTTTTCATAATAATATACCAATTTTTTGTGTATCATAATCATGTGACCAAATTTAAGAAAGTATACATTTATAATTTTTAAAGGCGGGTTCTAATTTTTACACAAAAGTGCACTTTGAGTCCTTCTACTTACCCACATTAGTCCCACCATGTCTGGGATAAATTTTAAAGCTATAACACCTCAGATGAGGTGATGATGGCCGAGAACTAGCAACATAAGATTTCACCACATTTTGCCTAGAGGGTTTGACCCCTAATGTTGGTTAGGCCATCAAAGACATTGAGAAAAGGTATGTAAGAAGAACCGAGGATGGGTCTGACCCCACCCGCTCAAAAAACCCCAAAACCGGTCAATTTCACCCCATCTAGTCACGTTTTTATCTTAATACATATTGCAAAAACATCTATATGAGAGTGTAAAGAAAATCTAAGGGCCTCCACTCGACAGTGATTAATTTTACTTTTGGAGTGTCCTGTCTCTGTTTTTTGTACTTTTGTGATTGTTCTTTGCCGTTTCTGTTTCTGTACATTTTAATTGTTTGAGACAAAAATTAAATGAAATGATGTTCGGAAATGGTGATAAATGCCAAATTTCAAATATTTGGAGTTAATTTCTGGTGGGTGAGGGGGTGGCTGGTGGGTGGGGAGGTGCGCGACCAAAATATGAGGGGGTGTAGAATTTATTTTCGGTGGCCACGCCCACTGAAAAATATTGCTTCTTTGATTCCTGAATACACGTTAACCTTTACAGCATAAGCATAAACCTAGCCTAATTTTTTTTGCTTCGAAGTTTTCGAATGGGGGGGGGGGGCAAGCGCCACTGGTTAAGGTTAGGGTTAGGGTGGAGTGCTAAAGTGCATTAGAGCCATTTATTTATTTCGTAAATACTGTACACCAAGTTTATTGACTTGGGGCTGCGGTGACCGGAATTCCAGGCCCTAGGCCTACCATAGCCCCCTGACTGTTTGTAGTACTGTAGTGCCAACCGTGCCAACGGGCCTGGTCAGTCCAAAGAGCGAAGAGAGCCAGCCTAAAAATAAAACTAGGCTAGCATTCCAGGCTACGCTTTCTGGCTTTTTTTATGAGAAATTTCATAGAAACAACTACTTTACGGGCGTACTTACGTACCGTTACTTTTTTTTAGCAGGATAAAACCACAATTCGTCCTCCATCGGTGCGTGCTACTTCTTGTTCTTCCCCCGACGATTCGAGCGAATGATGCCACCATGCCCAAAACTTCGAGCAAAAGGGTATGAGAGCCCCGCTAGGCGGCGCTCTATAATTTTTGCTTCGAGGAGCGAATGCAGTTTCAAGCGAAATTAAGTTGTGCGAATTTCCAATCAATAGTTTTTCGCCCTCTTTTCGTATTTAATTTAAATTTAGAACTACAGTTTATGGCCGAGAACTAGCAACATAAGATTTCACCACATTTTGCCTAGAGGGTTTGACCCTTAATGTTGTTTAGGCCATCAAAGACATTGAGAAAAGGTATGTAAGAAGAACCGAGGATGGGTCTGACCTCCACCCGCTCAAAAAACCCCCAAAACTGGTCAATTTCACCCAATCTAGCCACGTTCCTATCTTAATACATATTGCAAATCTATATGTGAGTGTAGAGAAAATGTAACCCATGTAGCACGTGGACCATCTTTTTTCCTACAAAGTACTATCGGTGTACATCACAGAAAAAAACCCTAAATCCAATTTATATCAGGTTGGGAAGGTGATGTAAAACCCCTACAAATTACCACCACTACCTGCTACGTTCTTATCTTAATGCATTAGAGACGCCTAAATATGACAATGTATAGAGAAAATTCACAACATGTTGCACATGAACCAACTTTTCTCCACAACAAAATTAGCACACTAAAAAAGTAAATTATACCTGATATCAGGTTGTAAAGGTGATGTAAGACCCCTACAAATTATCCCTTTCCCATCACTATTTCTGTCTTGAATGTATTGACCAAACTTATATTATGACAGTACACAGGAAACGAATCTGATTTGTTTACATTGGTAGTTGTGTTGCCAGACCTCAAGTTACACCTTGTCCTCCTCAATGCTCTACGTCCCTACCCCTCCGCCCCAATCCCCATTCATGACCTTACGATATCGTTTATACATTAGAATTGTAGCACAGAAAGAGAAAGAAAAAAAAGACGTTTTACACTGACAAATACATTTTAGGGTAAACTTCTTTAAAGTAAAATATTATGTATAACAGGAAACAAAAAAGAAACTTTTTCCTCCTCAACCAATGCTCCTGTCTCTTATACACATCTATTTTAATAATAACCCTAATATACAAATGCGGTCACTTTGCCAGACCCCGACATAGGTAGCTTTTTCCAAATGCCCTTACCCCTACCAGTACCCGTAACCCACCCTCACCCCCTGCCCAAATTCAATATAATAATTTCATCTATTTAATGAACAAAACCTTTTGGAAACAATGTACTGACAACATGGAAATACATGTGACCTGGTGTGTGAATGGCCGGATTTTAGGGTGATACCTCACTAACATCCAGTGGCAGATTCTGGGACAAAAGGAGTTTTTAAATACACATCATGTAAAGTCACTTAGACAGGTGATCAAAGGGGCACTGGGTGATATTGTGTCAATCCTCCCCTCGACCCGTAGGTCCTTGATGAGCTTCACCTTAGGGGCAGGGATGAATAGAGGGAGATTATCAGGCTTTAGCCTCCCACCCCAATACAAAACATTCGCCAGCCAATATGGTAGGACTATGCCTAAATTGCTTTTAGTAAGGCCTATGAAAATATTAACTACACCTGCTGCATTATATTTTTGAGGTAGTCATCCCTAACATTTCGGCCAGAAATTTACGAAAAAAAGAAAAAAAGATGAGCTCTTTTTAAAAAAGTTCAGGATCCACCCCTAGGGAAAGGGGAGAACCGAGGAGAAACGAATAATATTGTTCTGAAATAGCATTTTTGCAGTTTTAGAGTGCCATTTCCTGGCATCTAGAGGTACCAATGTATAAGTGAGGTGTACCTTTATAGAAAAGGTTGCCTAGGACGAAAGTAACTCTGGCTATATTGATTTGAAAATTGAAAAATTGTATTAATGAATAGGTATAGGATTACTCTGTTCAATTTTATTAACTTTATATCAATATGTAAATTTACATCAATTATATATTTATATTTTATTAAATAATAATTGATTTAAGTATTTATATGAATACAAAGATTACTATGTTCATTTTTAATGTATACTTAAATTTTCATTTAATTATGATATAGTAAATTTTTATAAATGGTTACAAAAAATCAAATGTATAAAAGAATATATTAATTTAAGTTTATAAATATGGTATAGTAAATAATAATAGTAAAAATAAAACGTAATGTTAGCATTGTAATATTGTTTAAGTATACAAGAAGAAACGGGATGAAGATTAACGAATAGAAAAAAAAAAAGAAAAAAAAAGAGAACAAGAGCGGCTTAGAATTGTACCGAAAGTTATGTAATAACACATCGTGAGCACGCGACATAAGCCACTGTAATTTTCAAATATAGGCCTATGTCCAGTCAAAAGGCGTGATGTGATGTTGTAAATGATGTTCGTATGCCTGCTTTGAACAAATTTGGTATTTTTCTTGCCAGATTATGTGCTATCTTTATTCAGACCCTGAAAGCAGTGGTGGCGCCAGCACCCGTCAGAGAGGCCTGAGTCCCCCTGTCGTCCGACGAACGACTGGTTGAGGACCAAAAATAAATAAAAAATAATAATAATTTGCCTATCCAAATAAAGCTATTTTGATTGCCAATCCCATTGTAGTCTAAAAGCACATTTAGGACCAAATTATACCATAAAACTCGCCCCATGAACCCTAACAAGGATTTTTTTTATTCCGGGCCGTCGGCCGAGACTTCGTCGTCGCCTTGGTTCGGACCCCTCCGTCGGACCCCTTCTCGGCGCCACCGCTGGCTGAAAGTCGGGTGTCCGGCGGGTGTAACAGTTTACCATTAAATCAAATTCTAGATTCGAACTGCTTATAATGCCAATAACAATAAACAGAAAAATGACAGGCAGCACTATTATTATGATATTATTGTACTATTTCATGATGTAAAAAAGTGTGATTTTTGTCAGTTTTACCAATATTCAGTTTTTTATTTTTAAATAAATTCCGACCCAGAAACCTAGTCTCAAATATACAGGGATTGTGTACTGCAGAGGATGTTTTACCTCTAAATCATTAGATACCCGGTAAGTAATAATTTGGAACATCAAGGCCGGATTGCCGAAAACTACTTTGTCGAATGCCAGATGGTCGACTCCGATCCAAAAAAATGTTGGCTTAAAAGCAAGGTAAGAAATTATTAACAAAAACATAAATACCGGTACATTATTGACTATTAGACTCCAAAAATAGCATACACACCATAATTAAATACTATTTTATCGAAAAAAAACTCAATACACATAAAGACGCATAGCATACTATTAGACCTGTCTCTTATACACATCTAGATGTGTATAAGAGACAGAGCTTCACCTTAGGGGCAGGAGATTCAAAATAACACTTTGGGGTAAAAAGTGTAAAATTTCATTTTTTTTTTCGGGAGATAACCTACGACCTACTTTAACTCCGAAATACAAAATGGATGATGTCTGAAATTTTTATGTGTCTTATTTTGTATGTGTTCAGTTTTTGAGAAAGTATCCGGCATAAAAGGTGGTTAGCTTAGTTTTTTTCGTATTTATTTAATAAAACACGTACAGTGCACACTCCAATTCGAGACCGATCTTATTCCGAGACACCTCTAATTCGAGACCACTTTTCCAATCTTCAACCTTTCAACACAAAGCTAGCCCACTAATTGGAGACCAACCCCAAGACCACCCCAAAGTTTCAGGTCCTAAAGTGGTCTCAAATTTAAGGGTGAACTGTATTATTAAGTTTAGCCAAAAGTAATAAAAATCACAAAATTAAAATAACGTGTCATCATATACATCATTTGATAGATAATTTTGATAGCTTTCGTATGATACCAAATTATATAAAATTTAAACTTTCAGTGATAGACTAGGCTCAAAATACGACTTTTTGGTAAAAACATGTAAAATTGTCATTTTTGGTCAAACTTGGCTTTAAAATTCCAAATTCAGCGTGGCAACAGCCTATTCTGTTTGATCCAAGGCCTGGTGATAAGAATTCACTAGTTTTTGAAGGTACTACATGGAAGGTTGTTAGATTGGTTTTCATAAATAAAACATAGGCCTATCTTATTTAATTTAGCCAAAAACAGTCATAAACCATTACGTTTTGGTTTTTTTTGGTGATTTTTGTGTCACAAGCTTAATAATAATTTTTCTGACACATCATTTGATAGATATAAGTTTAATAGTTGTCTTATGACACCATAAAAAGTACCGTATCGAACGAAAAAGTTGTTAGCTTATTTCGTATATATTTAACAAGATATGTAGTATTAAATTTAGCAAAAACAGTCATAAAAATAGTTCTTTGGGGATATTTGGGTAACAAAATTTGTGTCATCATACATATCATTCGATAGATAATTTGAATAGTTTTCGTATGACACCAAATATATTCATATTGAATCTTCCAGGGACGGACTAGCTTTAACATATGTACCATTTTGGTGTTAAAATGTATAAAATTTGCCATTTTCGGGTTAAATTTGGCACTAAACTCCACAATTCAACGTGGTAACAACCCATTCCGTGTGAGCAAAGGCCTGGTGATAAGAATTCACCAGTTTGTTTGGGAAAGTATGAGACAAAAAGTTTTTGTTTTTAAATTTAGCCAAAAGTCATTAAAAAAATATTTTTTTGGTATTTTTGGGGTCAAAGTTAACATAATGGGTCATCATACACATCATTTTCCTATGATATCGAATATATTCAAATTGATTCTTTTAATAACGATACTAGCTTAATACCATTTTGTAGTGAAGAAATGTAAAATTTGCCATTTTTGTGAGAGATAAAATTTGACATACTAGGCTATAACTCTGAAACACGATGTTGATGTCTAAAATTTTTATAGGTGATTATGTGGTCAGTTTTGAAAAAGTATCAGACGAAGTGCATGGTTGTTAGCTTAGTATTTTTCGTATTTAGTTAATATAACATGTGTTATTAAATTTAGCCAAAAAAGTCATTAAAAAATCAGTCTTTGGCTATTTTTTAGGTCGCACAATTAATATAATTAATCATCTACATCATTTGATAGA